ATAGAAAATAGTTGTAATATAAAAGCGAGTATAAGTACTTAATATAATATTATTCGGAAATGTTCCCAAATTTCAAAATGTTGTTAAAAAATTCAATTATTTGAATGGTGGTCTTCGAGTAGGCATGGTAAAACATTTAACAAATCAGAATATAAATTTTAAATAAATGCATAATTAACAGAAAAATAAGGGAATAGTGCTTGATGCGGTTTGAGTGACACAGGACACAGAGACACAGCGACACAGACACCACTGGTATTGCATATACAATACCTCAATTAAATATACTTATAAAATATAAAATATATCATACTATATTGTCTATAATGCAGTCAAATGTCGAAATAATATTGTATAAATAATTTCAATTAAAATATTTAGGTGTATATAATATTGAAGATGAAATTATTATAAGCTGTAAGAAATATGCTCTTCTATTATTGTTGATTTAAAGTTAAAAAACAATAAAATTACACAAAGTACCTATCCATAAATCATTAAAAAAAATCTAGTACGTTTACTGCATTATTTTATGATGATTTATTAACATATATAATAATACAATAATATAATATCACGAAAAGAAAATTATTTTTCTTATCACAAATTGCACGGGTCTCGCCGGGTGTAATTCGTTTGAGCACTTCCATTTATTTTACCTGAATGAATCCGAACAAAATGTTCATCAATCGTAAGATTTTTCTTTCCAAACACAAGATCATTTTCTCGAAGTTAAAAGTTGTTAAATCATTTTTTATAAATATATTTATTATTTCCTAGTTTATAATATGAGGCGATTAAGAAAATCTGAACATTAAATATTATACCTAACATTATTAAATAAATATAAATAATGTTGTTAAAACATTTGTGTTTTCTAAATAACCTTATTTTAATCCATATTAAAATAGCTCATTTAATAATAATTATTGATGAACTAAAAAATATAATATTTCTTAAGTACCTATATAAGAATATGGTGCTTCAATATTTTTACAACTTTTGACTCTATACAAGCATGGTATACATCTCGCAGGTGTAATAAATAATTATTTATTGATATACCGTCACTATAATATTCAAATGTTTTCCAAAAACCAATTGTGGAAAAGAAAAATGCTTTTTTTCGTTTGCTGCGAAATGGTTTTAGATTCTGAAAAGAGTGTTATGAACTTAAACTATGATAGTGTGCAATCTCACTGGTGCATCGTGGACTCTACAGGCGACACTAGCTATAATACCTAAGTAAATGTTACTATAATATTAAAACGTAATTATTTTTATATTATAAAATATGTTTAATCTATTTATAAATTTCACTTTTTCATATACGTTTTTCACGATAAATATAGCAACTATTACATAGGCGGTAATACTCACCTATTTTATTACTTGGCCGACCTCCGCGAGCAAAATTCATTTATTTGTTGTTTTTTATTCCGACGGGTGTTGTTGGTACAAATTCGTTACTTCGTTTATTGTACACGATTGTATGGATACAGTTTCAAGTAACGAATAATATAAACTTTCTTTTTTTTAATGCGTTTAATAATAATATAAAACCCTTTTTCGTTAGTATGTGGTGTTTTGTATTTTGTAAATTTTATTGTTCTTAATCTTTTTTTCATAATATCAAACATACATTATAGCATTGTCATCGGCGAATCTGAATGGCAGGTAACCTTAATAACAATTATTTTGTTACAATACGAAAACGCATTTACTTAAGTTAAAATTTAAATATGTTGAATACAAAATTAAATCAATAGTAGGTCGGTACTAGGTATATCATATGCCTCAGCTGCGGAATCATTTTTCTAGTTTTAAATTTATACCAGGTTGTGTATTTTTCTCTTAAGAACATCCGCTTTACAGTTTATTAAACTTTTAAAGTACATTTTAGGTTCACTGACAGGTGTTTTATGAATTATTTTATACGAATTCTAAAACAGAAGTTACCTGCACAACACTTATAACTATTTACTATCTGTTTATTTACATTATATAAAAATTTTTTTTATGATATTATAAAACATATAATGTTTTTATATTTTTAAATTCAAAATAAAATTATCATAAAATGTAATTGCGGTATGGTGTACACTATATACTATACTACTTAGTGCCCACTAATAAATGTACTTCTATATTAACCACAAATCACAAATATCGGTGCAAACTGCGTCTAACTAACAGATGCACATTGCAACCTTCGAACCCAAGCAACTGTATAAAAGGTATTAATTGATTGATGGCGTTTTTATGTAAATTTAAATATTTTGAAATATGTATTTTGATGATCATTATTCATTAAGAATTCAATGTTTTTTATTCAGAGGATTTTACAATTAAGACAAAGAATATGCCTACAGAGAAACAAAGTATAAATGTTTGTTTATAAAATTAATAAATAATAAATAAATTTAAAAATACATTCAAGGATAGTAAGAACCGTTAAGATTCTATAATTATTATTATAATAAATAATTTACAAGTCCTCGAGGTTAGATTTGTGATTATTTGCCACTATCTATAAAAGTATTAAAATATGTGCTCTTTTTCGTGAAATTTGGCTAATTAACTTTTATAACAATATTATTATATTTCCCAGTATTAAATTTTCCTTAACGCTTTGATCTAACTTATTAGCAATATAAGTAATATTAATTTCAATTTTAACAATGGTTTTAATTATTTTCTGGTTTATCAAAGTGTAATCCAAGGACTGAAATGTGTTAAACATCTATAAAAATGGGGCCGAAGCCAGTTGCTTATACTTCATTTGATCTTGTACATACATAAATTGATTTTTTTATTCATAGTAGGTACCTATTGCGTCAAAAAGAAAAAACACTGTTTATAAGTAGTGGGATCACTAAGACTAATATTTTTTCCCATGATAAACTGAAAATATTTTGATTGAATTCGAATAAAAATTACTTTTCAGAAAAGTAGGTACATTGTATCGACCAAGTGAAAATATATTAGGTATGTTCTTATATAATACAAGTGTCCGTTATTATGATATATTATATGTACGCGACCTAAGTGACAACTGACAAGTCGCCAAGATAAACGTGCCAAAGACTGTATAGTGTTTTGCTCGTTATAAATCGACTACAACTGTCATTACCAAAGTAATTATTTTAATGACAAAAAAAAAACAACAAAAAAAAATCACAATAAAAATATTAAAAAAAAATAGCATTATGTTTGAAAAAATTACAAGTTACCAATTGAAATATTATACAGTGCATTGACGATGGCGGATGTTACAAGTATCCTAATAACGCTGTAAACGCCAAGAAAATACAACGAAACTTCGCATTCAAATTACCAGATCATGGTTCAGAGCTATACGATAATGTACGTTTTCGTACACCGATTTAATTATACAATATTGTATTTGATTGTCTTCAAAATAACTGTATTATTGTATTACCATTACCTATAAAATGATAATAATAATATGTTAATGTCATGAATCACAATAAACACATTTTGCTTGTGTTATCCTACTTCACGCGACCACGTAGTACATAATATATCACATATGATTATGTAGAACGAAAAGAAATTTATATCTTTTCCATGATAATTGTCCACCCACTTCTGAATGCATCTGTCGTAAGCGATATAAATCATAATATTCGTAATAATAGGTCTTGCCGATTTCGTTTACGTGATTTTGCCCGCATCAAATGGTCACTATTGAATACAATTATTACCAAGTACCCACCTGAGAATCGCTTATAGAACCTGTAGAACATATTATTATCATTTCCAGTTGTTACTTTTTACGCCTATAACATAATCATAGGAATGTGTTATGTGTATTATGTACACTCACAATTTTCGTTTAGAAAACGAATTTAAATAATTTTTTTCGCGTATTCATTACAAACTACATTTTAAATTGTGTTGTCCTCAATAAATTCTATAAAAAACATCACACATTTAATTTCCTACTAAATTGTCCAAGCCTAAGACTGTTTGTGCGTCGTGTTTACGTTATGGTCGTCTGCAAACATTAATTTTTACGCTGAAAATAAAAAATAAGTATAAAGATTATGATCACCATTAGATTTTCTGATGAATAAATAAATACTTTGTTGGTACTTATCGACGTATACAATTAATTGAACAATGGTTTTCGCATTTTCGCTGGTTTCGATATTAACCTTGCAGTTTATCATAAATTGCGTTTATTTTTACTTACAATCATTTGATGTCTTCGTTTGGTACAATTTTCGTGTTGTAATAATATTGGAATAATTTTTTAACTTTTGTTGTTTTTATTCCGTATTCGAGTAAGTCGTAACGAATGTGTAATTATACTTTCATTTTTGTGGTCTTTTATTTGGATACTATAGTGTTGTGATTGCACTAGTCTGCTCATTTGATGATCAACATTAAATGTACCTCCATATTCAAGCTCGGATTTAGTTAATGGACCTATCGGGACTGTGCCCCCCCCCCTCTCACAACCCTTTAATCCACATTGTACGTATTTTGATTCTTTTCAATTTTACAGTAGAAAAATAATCGTTTGTATGATTTACATAACGGTATGGTGTGACATGACGTGACATCTAATATGTACGAATACGTACGAATTGTCTTATAAAACGACATAGTTATTTTAATAACTAATTCTGCAGCTGAGCGTTGTTTATTATATTGGTGTGAAATAATTACTTGACTACAAAAAGTATAGAATGACGGGTTTCGATTGTCTTTTTTAAGAAAAAATATTGTTATAATACTACTAATTAGGTTAAATGATGGCCTCAGGGCCGTGACAAGGTTTGTTGAGGAACCATCAGATTCAGCACATTTACCGTGGTTCGGCGATTTTGCGACCTACTGAATTTTGGGACGCGCTTTCGCTTTTTCGAGGTCTTCGCGGGAAAACTAGATTATATAATTTATTTATGTCGTCCGTGCATCATTTATACTCAATTGTAATTAATTTTTTTCAAACAATTTTATCGTTGCAGTGTCGATATTGGGTTCCAGTTGGCACGTGGCCGAGACAGTGATCACGAGCGCTTATCGAGCTCTTTCCAAAGAACTGATCACAGCGGAACTTGGTGCTTACGTCGGACTTGGTCACATCAACATAACCCTGTGCGGTAAGCAGCGAATCGTAAATTTTTTTTCTGTATTTCACATTGTTGACTATAGGCAAACGCGTCCGTGGTACCATTAGTATCATACGAATACGCGAGAATGTTCCTAATACAATCTAATTATTGTATTCAATCGTGTTGTTTGTGTCTTACAGCTATGCCGTCCGACAACTCTTCTGTACCCTTGGAAGACATCAGCTTCAACGAACGTTTCTCTTGGCTGGGAGCTCACGAGATGGGCGAAAGTTACCAAGCCGCCTTGTACCGGGGCATGCCCTTCCCCATACTGACTGTGGCCGAATACTTTAGCCTTGGCCAAGAAGGGTTTGCTTGGGGAGGTCAGTACAGAGCCGCGGGATACTACGGAAGCATATTTTTATGGTAAATATATTTTAATGTGTATAGGACCTGTTATAGATCGAATAGTTTCTCGGTCGAGACTGCAGCTCTTAGAAATACTAAATTGTACCGTATATTATGTATAATATGTTATGTACAATATATAGACGTAAATATGTCCGAAAAGTATTCTATCCCTCTCGCCCTCTAGAATTTTTATACCCTGTTGTCGGAAAGAAAATTTTTACACTGTCATTGGCTACCTATACCACGATGTTATCAAAGCATATTCCTTATTATACTAGACACCCATGTAACATTCAATTCTACATAATATGTTAAATCAGTTGCCATTTACTCAAATACTAAAAAAACACTCGAATCACGTTACTTCATCACAATCAAAAAATAACCATTACATATTTTAAAATAAAAATTTTTTTCCGAAAATCGATGTTAGCGACGTTTTCACGGTGCAGCGGTAAATCGCCTTACATGCGCAATAATACTCTTACCGACAGCAGGGCTGGAAATTGGTGAGCCGTCTAAAAGATGCCTCCTCCGCAACGTACTTACGTCTGCAGTGCAGTCAAATCGAATTATAAGACCAATTCGCATGACTTGTTTGTGAACCTAAACAACTTATAACATCATAATGTATATTTATGCCTACAGGACAGCGTTTGTGTTGTGGTTCCTGATGAACGTGCTACTGATTGTCGTTCCGAGGTACGGCGCGTACACAATGATTGGCATGGGAAGTTTTATGGTCGGAGCCACAGTGGCCTATCACAGCATGCTCCCGTCGTCGCCTCTAGTCATACGTTTTCAGGACGACAAGTTTTTACTGTTCAGGCTGGGCTGGTGTTTCTGGCTAACATTGTTTACCGGTTTGTTTGCCCTATATACAGATAATAACTAGGTATTAGATACGCCCATATCGTTTCGGACAAAGGTATACATTGAGCACAATGAAGCAAGAAAATTGTAAATTCCGATCGATACATTTAAGGAACCAATATCCGAGGAGTAAATTTCGCCCGGAGAATTTTTAAGTGAGATTATTTGTGTGATGGTCATTATAATACGACCACAAACAATTTATCGTTTTGATTTTTTCACATCGGTTTCATGGATATAATTTATGATTTTTTTTTTAATAATATTAGTCTATTCTCCAAACGTTTTGAAAATGCTGTACATGTTAACACAACATCGCCACTTTAATTCATCTGTTGCCAATTTACAATTTTATTCCCGGAGGCACAAGCGTAAATTACTATACCCATTTTAGAAATTAATAATACTTTCATGTTATTTTATTCGTTTTGTTAACTATACTCTGTTGTCGCAATTTACAAACGTCTATTACGTATCTATACAGTTATATCATCACGCATAATACATTAAAAATAAAATGTAATAGATCATTATTGGCTCAGAATTAAATGTTCTATACGCTATATGTGAACATTTATGAGTTCATCATCATACAAATATTCTTGATTTAAATAGCTGTGTAAATTAAAACTAAATTAAGATAACAAACAATAAAACGTTTGAATTACACTTGTTCAAGAAGTTTTTAAGAGATCACGGGACTACTAGATTACAAGGAACATTGTATAGGCAACTTTACATGCATTCGACCGTCGTGATAGTCATAAATACGTATCTAAACTGATAATTGGTGCCAGAACAGAGACGGATACAAAGAACGAAATTATAAATGTCGCTCGTTCATTCCTCCGTACTTTTGATGGTGGAATTAAATATTTTCCAGAGTGAAAATCGGAATAGAAAATACCATGTTTGTGTAATTATTAGAATGTGTAGTTCTTAATTTGTTCAATAGTCACAAGACGCCTCAATAGCTTATTTTCTGTTATAATATTAGTAAAAGGTAATTAATATATTTGAGTGCGTATTGTAAATGTTAATAGAATTTCGTTGTATTTACTCATCTAAAAAAAGTCATTGGACGAAAAAAAATTAAAAAAAAAATATACCTCAAAGTTTTTAATAGTAGTAATGCACTTTTTATTTGTTAATTAAAAAATTACATTTGACAATAATTGATGACAACACACTCAAAAATATTTATTTTTAAAAAAATACTAAATTCTTTTAGTATTGGCAACAACAAATGTTCCAAAAATACAAAAAAGAAAAAAAATTGTAAGTAAAACATTGCTTATAGAATTATTATGTCTGGGTTCAAATTTGTTGCATTTTAAGCTAATTATTACAAATATACAAGTGCCCTATATCAACAGTTATCATATTATGTTCATAAACCTAAATATCTAAGTGCAACCTAAACTACCTAAAGCACTGTCGTCCGATTGCCGGGTTACACATCATATTTAACGGAGTCTCCCCGATACCTACGTAACATATCGACGTGACCTCTGCCTATATAATTTTGTTAATGATAAACAACTCGGTTAAATTATTATGTGTTACGGTGTCGGTGCGATGAGTACCTGATATATGCCCAATAATATTTCCCATACATTATCCGATGTTACCGTTTTGTTTCCCCGCAGGGCTGCTGTGCATTTCCGTCGGGTTGATAATCGTGGCCATCGATTGTGTGTACCCTCACAAGTTCTCCACCATTCTCGAGGTGGACTTCGACACGCCGTACGACCGGCACATCATCATCGAGGACAGCATCCACCGGAAGAAACGCGTCGGCAACAAGAGTCTCGAAGAGCCCGAGGGCCTCGGCCGCAGGATACTGAGGTTGTCTAACGCTATGCGATTTTATTATAATACACGGGAAAACCCGTCGGGTGGTTTGGTTGCGCACGCTCCCATTATTGTTGTATGATTATGATTAACGCGCCGTCGTTCTGTCTCGCAGGCGACTGTCGTCCAAGAAAGACGACGACGTCAACAACCACATGAAACGCGCAGGCGCGGACAACCGTGGCTTCGAGTTGGATCCGGCCCCTCCGAATTCGCCGTGGAGGTTTCCGTACAACAGGCCCGCGGCCCAGGGGGTGAAGTTCAACAGGACTATATCGCAGGACTCGATGACTAGCCAAACGTCCAACTTGGCAGTCGCTTTCAACAACCGTGACAAGAGCAGGCTGTCCATATTGAAAACGTCTTTGCCGCCCATGAGGTGATCTATACATTATGTTAAAATAAAATATAATACCCCCAAAGGCAGACCAAATCGTATGCCTAAATTCAATATGAGTAGGTCATTTAATAGGTAGTTATGTCAATAGTTATTACGTCATATAATATATTTAACTCTAAACGCTTATTTAATTTTAGTTAATATACCTACAGCGAAAAAAATATAAAAACTCGGTTAAAGAAAAATTTATTTATTTATTTATTGACCACCTGAGTCGCATAACATTTTATAGTTTTTAAAAATTGTGAAAGCCATTTGTAATTCGTACCACGATGTCATCTTATATAGTTAACACTTAGCACACTGTAATATTAGACAATTACGTACAATTAGGTCTTATAAATTATCAAATCAAAATATATTTGGATTTAAAACCATTGTATACACTGCGTGATTAATCAAAATATATAAAATTACATTTTGATTTTAACCACAATTAGATAATATGTATAAATATATTATGATTTCAATTTTCAACTTAACATATTATTTTTCAAATTAACTTGAAAAATTTATATTATATTACAATTAGAACTTGAACTGCATACTATGTACAGTTAAGTTAAGAAGTTAAAAAAAGATTAACTTTACAACCAGCTTACTATTGATAGTATTATATCTGTTAGGTCTAAGGTACCTGTATATATTATTATCAACTTGATCGTGTTCACAAATCTACGTATTCCCAACGTTGTGATTTTGTGAGACATTAATATATTTTAGTAACAGGAACCACTTTTAGGACAGAAATTTAGCAGCTTTCGAATTTGAAAATAAACATAGACAATATCAATTGTAACTGTCGTTGTTTTTAATTATTTAACTACGCACTGAGTTGAATCGACTACCGAAAAAATCGATACATTTTGAACACAATATTACTTGGGCATTGAATGTTCCAGGAAATCCGAAATCACCTATGGAGACTTAAAATTTAATGTTCTGTAGTCTTCTAAATGATCGATTTCCGTCGCAGAAACCGTGGAAATACATTTTTTTAAAACTAGTATTTCGTTTACATGGGTTTTGTCATTAATAGTGTGTTGTTTGTTTTATTGTAAATATTACCAATTAATCAAAATGTGTTTTTTTTTTAGACCGGCGCCCGGACAAGCAATAGTGGTGGATAGAGCCAAAGAAGTGTCCATGTGGTGAAACTTCTCAAAATAATATAATTATAAATGTGCCAAGCAAAACGATTTGTGAAAATTTTTTTGAAGTCTGATCGTATAGACATATAGATATATACATATTATGTACCATATTATATACATTACAAAATGACAGTCATATAAAATTGTAATTAGTTGCTATCATATTAATTATGTTGGTTTTGTTAAGTGGAACTAGTGAAACGAAAAGGTTAAAATTCTAGATTTCAGACATTGATTAACTTAATTTACGAATAAGTACATAAATATTTATACTGCAATGATCAAAAATATGTAAAAAAATAGGGTTAAAAGTATGTCAAAAAGATGTGAATATAATTATCGTAATGTTACCTATATTTATTTATTAATATTATTATAAATTTAGTGTTTATAAATTTATAATCATTTAATTAGGCTAATTTTAAAATCAAAAACTTTTTTATTGTGTAAATTATTATTTTTGACAAATACATGTATTTTTATTTATTTTATATTGCGTTATCAAAATATTGTGATAAACCCATATTATTTAAGACATTTGTTGAACAATTAAAATCAAATAATGCAGGAGACGGCAGAGCTTTAGGAGTCTCATTGTGTTCATGTCCTCCCCCCCCTCCCCAGACGTGAAATTTTCTTGAAAAAAATTATCTAATAAACATGTAAGATTAAAACACATCCTTTTGTTGGAAAATAGTTTTTACTTATTAATATACTACACAGAAATTATCAAGGCGATATACTTGCCACAAAAAGAAAATAGACTCATTGAATTTGTAGTGTGATAACTACTAATGAGTTGTTTTTTAAATTTTAATTAAGGTTTTTTGCATATCCTCTCTCCCACCATTCAAGTTCCTGTAGCCGCCTCTGGCAGACGGGTAACAGTTCTGGCATGGTAACAATTTTGAAAATTTAGTTTAATAAAATACGTATGGAAAAATAAACAGTAAAAATAGATATCATATGAATGAAAAAAGGATTTGAGGGAAAAACGTTGGACTACATTAATAAAACATTTAGATTAGATTATTCTGAGTTCTGTGTTAATACATTTTTTATATCAAAAAACAAGTTGATTAAATGCAGATACCGTTAGGGCGTAAGATATACCAAATTGATTTCGCATTAGGTAAAATATATGTACCCACAATAGTATATTGTTAGATATAAATTAAATGTTTCGATTTAACTTATGATGCATACATTCGGCGCAACTAAGATTAATTTTCATAAGTGAGTGGGGGGTGGGGGTGTAAAAATATCCTACTCAGCTTTGGAAATACAAATTATGCAACAACTTAATTACATGTTACGTAAGATTCGTATAAAATAATATGTATTGACGATAAGCCGCATGTCCTAACATGAATAATTTGTTTTTGTAATACTACATTCCTACTAAGACCGTTATTTTTATTTTTATTTAATAAAAATATAGTTTTATATAAAATTGAACTTAAACGCGTTTAAAAAAAATGATGACTATATTTTCGATATTTTTTAATTATTGTATATGATTAACTTATAAGGACTGCGTATTGAATTTTCAAGCTTCTCAATACAATTTTGTTCTACATAAATAGAAATAAAATTTGGAATAAGTTAAAAATGTAAAATGTTAATGATAGTTCAAAAATATCCAAAATATTTTGTGAAAATTCTAATCTCTACAATTATTCATGTATGATTAATTTTGATATAAAAACCAAAAAAAATATGAAAAACACAGAACATACATACATTTAGAGCTCCTCTCAAATTCTAATAATAAATTATTGTTTTTAACATTTTGAGATAATGTCAGCCAAACGTAATAAGTCTTCCAAAAGCAAACTAATGTTTTTCAAATAATCAAAATTCAATAACTTATCATGATACAACTATATTACATTTCGAATTGTATTATAATATTAGAATGAATTCCCTTAATTATTTAATATTATAATGCTCGTGAAGATCATTTTTTCCTCCTTCCCCCCATGTTTTATCATCAACTACGTCAATTCCCTCACCACTTTATGTCTTTACACAAATTCAATTAGCCATATTTTGAGCAACGATGTGTTCGAAATAATACGTACCATAATGACATAATGTTACATAATACTTATCTGCCTACACTCATCTCGATAACGATGTACTACGACGTGTACAGTAAAATATTTTTTAGAACTTACGTCAGAATATGGTTTTTTTAAATGTAAACAATAATAATATTCTGCACTACAACAATATCAATGTTTGATTAACTAATTTTTTTGCGCTTTAGACACTATCAGTTATTTTTTTTACGACCGTAGTTATAGTTCGTATTTATTGTACAAGCGATTCCCTAAAAACGTTGTTGTTTGAGCAACACACACATCTATACATCCAAAACGCTTTGAGCGAAAAACAATATTGTAATTTAATGAGCGTAACGCATTAACATATTCATCCGTTGTATTTGCACTGTGCGTAAAGCTATGTCAAAAGTCATGTCTGACTGTCTAAGTCGTGTTTTCTTTTGATTTTTGTACGGAAAGTTAAAGGCGCGAAGTTTTAACAAGCCCGAAATCTTGAACATTTGAAATACTGCACGATTAAAAACAAATCGTTTTCGGTTGATAAAAAATTATCGTCTATCGAACTATGAAAAAAAAATCATATTATTTCAATTAATTATTTTATAAGCTATTTTGTCCAATACATAATAGTATGGCTTTAATAATGTACGACAGCGAGTGCGATGAAACAATGAAGTTAACACTCACCAGTCACCACCGACAACAATATTATGCGTATGATGAACAATCCGTTTTTAAGGAGTTTTGTATAGGCAATATCAAGAGCAGTGTGTCTAATTGTGTGCGCAACATCTGTGGTATAATATTACAATAATATTCATAGGCATAACTTCTGACATGCATTACTTCAGGAATTCCCAAAGTTTTGACTTAACGGAAAACTTGGTACTTGCTCTTTTTATAGATTTTTACAACACATACATTGGAATGAATAAATATATGAATTATACATTTTTTTTTATTCGAGATGTGTTCTAATAGGTAAAGTTTATTAACTGAACAATATTATTTCAATAAACGTAAATAATCCAAACGCGAGATATAAAAGAATAAAATAATATATTTCAAAAGTTTTTTATTTTTTATTACTACATAATATTTGATGCGAATTATTGTATTAGAATAATATTCAGACGTTCACATATTAGGTACATAGCCAATATACAACGTTTATCTGAATCATTTGATTTCAATAAACAATAAACATACTTATACCAACGTACGTGGTACGCCCAGTAAGTAATAACCAAATTTCCAAGTTAATGTAAAATTATACTATGAAATGTAACGCACAAAATAAGATGAAAATCACACACACGGCAGTACGGCACACCTGAAGAATTTATTTCAAGGCATAGGGTTTGAGCTCGATACATCGACGTCCACAATGAAGAGGGACATACCCGATTTAATGAATTTTTTGGATGCCCAGCAGATGTGATTGTGGCATAAATCAACCAAAGATGTTATAGTACTATACTATGCAATATAAGATCGATTAACTGCCGTCTTCGTTAGAAATCCAAAAAAAAACCAGTAATATCAAATTGAAAAAAAATTCTTAAAATTGAGTTACGTTCCTCTTCGTCGAGGAAGTCGACATGGTTCCCAGCAGGAAATCCCTGCAATACGGCGCAAATGTCTTTTTTTCGCTAAAAGTTTGAATTTTTTTCTTCCATCGTACCCACCGACTTATTAATGATTGATGAATGCATCAGAAAATACGCCTGAAAACAGATATTATTTAAAGTCGTCATTAGTTTTTACACTACATAGAGCGATTTACCCACCACGGTTATCGTTTTTTTATTATAATTCCGTATAAAAAAAAAATGCTATTGCATATTAGGTACGCTTGATAAAGTCAATTTTTCAAACTGTCTTCACTTTTCAGACATTTTATCGATATTTTCATGTGATGGTGATTTTATTTCTTCTGACTCCAGTACACCTATATTATGGACAAAATACGGGTAAAGATGAGTTCGGTACAACAAAATATCCGTTTGAAAATCCTCTTAATAATATTATATGCTTATATAATATATTATACACGTACCTACCGAGTTGAAAATTATTTTATTATTGATTAAGATGACACCACACAATCGTTTGTTGTCTCCGTCCTATACAAATGTACAACATGTCCAATTTTAAGTTCAGAATAATACATTTTACTCTGTAATTTCTAAAATTGGAGTGAATTTACCTGTAATAAAATTGAAAGGCAAGAATATTATTTGGGCAATCTCGGAGGATATTATTATTTTTAAGCAAGTTTAATGTACAGTTTTTAAACTCAACATTTTGTATAATACAGAGACAATAGACGCCTCTTAATGGTTCATTTTTAAGGTACAACTAAAATTAAGTAGTCACTATATTGTTAGTGCATATAGTGAACCATGTAGATATTGTAATGATAAATAAATATATTATAATATAATTATAATAGTATGACCGTAAAAATATATATAACCTGTGTTACGTAGTTTCGAAGTGCGATGAAATTCAGTGGAATTAATCAACATGGCGACGTAAACATAATATTAAATATCTGTAAACAAATAATTATCGTGATCGATGCTATATCATTATAAAACACTTTTACACACGTACGCATATTATAATTAGTAATTATAAATACTTACAAGTTACAATACATATATATTTTAAATATATCAATACAATTTTCGTGGTGATGGAGCACACATAAACACGTTACGTGTTTACGTCATACTCATTAATCATTATAATATTGAAAATAGACTCAATTTAATTTGTCTATTAAGCTAATAGTTAACTGCAATGAGAACATTTTAAAGGAAAAAATTGTCTTCAAAACGCTGTTTATAACGTTATAATGGAAATACATTGAACAATTTTGCAATAAATACCTCTACCTAAACGAAAAATGATTATAAAATAATATTAGTAGGTGTTTATGTCACTATTGTCCATTTCACATGGTTAAAGATAAACACTAAACGTACATATGCCATATGTAACATAAAATATAATAATTACAAATTATGGAGTACTTTTTTTAAAACTTATTAGGCTCGAACAATTCAATGTAGGCTAACTTAAAATATTTTATTGCTGTCCAAAATATTAAATTTATTTATTAATAGTTCGTTTGGGCATTTCTGTAAATCATAATAATATATTATGATATTCATCTATAGACTATAATAATTCTCACATTTATGTCCAATTTGTCGGCGCACACGTGCAGTTCCGTGTAAATGTTATAGCTATTTCAAGTTGTTTTATAGCTGTGGATATTTCATTAATTACCTAACCATCATAACAATATTTTATCTATGGCTGATGAATATTACTTTATTTATTACTTTATAGTTTTGCTGAAGTAATAAATACCTGTAACAAAGTGACACGTATACGACTTGCCTACTAGTTTACTGGTTAAAGACTTAAAGATAATTTATTGAAAATATCCTGCAATAGGTCATAGAGTAGTTCTTTGACGAATTTCGTGGTCTTGGGCCGGGTGCACACGAAAGCAACGTGATTGCAGTTATGGTGGCCAGGTTAATGCAGTAATGCAGTGGGCCATGGCAGTTTTTTTTGTTGTTCAATGCATTGGTGTGTACCTGGATTTACGTTACAAAGCGCACGGATGACAATAGAATTTATTCAAAAATATAATTCTACATATTTTTTGTTTTTTTTAACGGCACACGTCTAATAGAAAAATTAAATTACGTTTAAAATTATAATAACGTCAAACAGAAAAATCGAACAACAATTTTTAAGTTTAATTCTGATGAAATACTATGTATATTGTACATTTTTTTTATTTGTGCTTTCTTTGATTCTGTATCATATATACCTATATAATAGTTATGCAAAATAAATATTAATTGAATGATATCACACAGATCTGTAAATATAGTGATCATTCAACAACCGGACGTCCGAACGAGTATGTCATTGTTTTACACTTATGCATATATAGTGTCCAAAGGCGACAAGGCGTACATTTTTTTAATGTCCTCTGCGGTGTCTGTATATAGAACAACCCGGCAGAAGTAAAAATAAAAATTATAATTTTGAAATTCGAATAACATACCATTTGTAATAATTACTATACCTGGATACCTAAGACTATTTGGTTTTTGTCAACAGTGCAATTAATTTCTACCCATTGGGGGTGCCGGGGTGGGAACCACTGTCGGAAATTTTGGTTGACGCCTTGACGGATAGATTAGAAGACGGACTTCAACAATTTAACCAATAAAGCTGTGCTCGTAATAATATGTCTATAGAATACTGTTAGATTATTGCTGTTATAACAACTTATTTTCTTCATTATTTTGAACAATAATACCAATCGTGATAACACGCAGTTGCGTCTTAGGCCGTGTACACATCGTACCAATAAGGGTTGCAACATAACACAAATTGTCTGATTGAATCACACACATGCACCCTCCAACCCGGGCCGTGAAATCTTCGCGACTTCTTATCGGCAAATGGCAGCCACTGTACTGCACAATAAATGCAGCAGTGCATACATGGGTGCATAGGACACGGTCCGGGCCGATGGCCAAATGCAGCAGCCGTGGGCCACGACCACTTTCACACGCTCGAAAGGCCCGTGCGGGGTGCGCTCCTTGCCTCCATCGTCGCCTACGCCGGGTGGCGTACGTGACCATGGTCACGAGTGCATCGTTCGTTCGTTCACGCACGTGCACCAACAACAACACACAATAATAACCACTTTGTGTACATTGTTCGGTAAATGGTAATTTTATTTTGATGATTAATAATTTATGATCCACGTGAGAGCCCGGATCGGAAATCTGCTGCAATGGCAGTTCTCCGTCTGACCAGATTTGCTGCATTTTTATCATCTATATGGGTTGTATATAACGTATTATGCTCATCTATATAATATCTTTACACTCGAATATAAGGGGGGACAAACATTTGTCGAATTTTTAGATTTTGAGACGAGCGATAAATGCATTTGTTTTATGAGAAAATTAAAATTAGTTGAAAATATATTGTCAGTTTTTTCATAAGCATTTGAAGTAATCGAATTAAACTTTAAAAATGGTTGATTTGAATATTATTGTCATTATTATTCAAGTTAAAGTTCTTAATATAATTATAAATTCTATGAAGCTGTAAAATGTTTTTGTGCACAAGGAACAGTGGCGCAACTAGGGGGGTGCAAAAAGGTCTTTAGCACCCCCTGTTTTTTATATCTAACTTTTATTATTTTATTGAAATACCATGAATGTTATGTTTTTAAATATTATGATAAATTTCCTGAAAAAATATTTAATTATTTGGTCGTAAGTCTTATAATATAATTCATTCTAATTCATTCCATACACGGATATTCCCATAATAATAAAGCAAATAATAAAACTGGTTAAGATCAAGAAAGCTTCAGCAAAGGTTTACCAATTTATCTTTGCAGAATATTGAAAAAGATTTATTAAATCAGCTTAACACTGAAACTATTTTAAATAAATATTGTATGAAACCTAGAAAAATTATGCTAATTTAAAATGTATTATATGTGTATAAGTTATTTATTAACAAAACTATGAAATTATAATGTATCCTTATGTTACTGAAATTTTAGCAAAAAAATTTATTTTATTTTATTTATGTGAAGTGTATATGTTTTAAAATGTTGAATTATCGAGCATTGCAGGCTCATGTGTACTGTGTAGGGGGTGTGCGGCTCTGTGATGCATTCCCATATTTAGCACCCCCTGTTTTAGAGGTCTAGTTGCGCCTATGGGAATACATACAAATATTATTTTACCATCTTATTGATCAGTTGGATATGTATAGAAAAAACTTGTCGCGTAATCATTTTATTGCTTTGTCACTGTTGATGCGCGCTAAATACATGCAAATTCTATAATACCATTTTATTTTATTTTTTGTTTAAAGATATATACAATCTGTATCCTGGGGCAAAATAATACCATTTCATCAATTTTTTGGTCTTATTCAGGTCTTCTATATTATTCTTAAGTACAAAACGTCTATCTAATACAATATCATCAAGCAGCCCCCTCCCCCTCCCCCCCTCAAACATTGGCCCAAATCGTCCAGCGTAACGCGTAAAAACGAACGTGACGGCCGCGCGTCATACGTATAATATTATTATCATTGTATTCCGTGGACGGGTTTGTTGACTCTTGGGCTGGCGGGTGTGCGGGAGGGGATCATAACAATAACACAACGGACGCGCGCACACCGGCAGGCACGCGACGGCAATGGTTCTTTGTGACGGCCGCGCGTGCGTGCGCGCGCCGTGTTGCTGTGTTGGCGACGGCGCGGCGTCGTCGTCGTTCTCACTTATCCTTATCCAACCGTTCATTCCGCGTCTGTCCGCCGTTGTCTGCCGACCGCTGTTCTCGCTGTTTCCGATATTGCGCTTCCGTTCGAGCATTCGGTGTCCATTTTCTCGTGTGTTGGCCGTGTAAAACTGACGCGAACGATCGATCGTCATTCGTCACTCTCTCTCCGCCGCCGCCGCCGCCGCACAAAGTAACCGGCCGAAAAACCGTCAACCGCGCGCGAACCGTCCGCGGCGTACTTGCGCGGTTCCCCGTCCGACGTACGCTCAACGAACAGACAGTTCTTTTTTCTCTCTCGCCATCATGACCACCACACCGAAGTCTCTGCCAGAGGAATCGCTTGGTGGTAAATATATATTCCCGTTGTTTGTTTATAATAATAATGCCTCCCCCGTGGAAGGGGGGCAGAGGAGGTACCCCCGCTGCAGTAAAGATTCGACAGATTTTCAAAATAACACAAAAACATGACGTAAAAGTCCTAACAGCGTCAAAAAAATATAAATCGGATAAATAATAGGTAGGCACGTTACTGCGAAAATCCATTAATGGGAATTGATTATTTGAATGTACCAATCTATGGGACTGTGTAAAATTAAATTGCAATCACTGAATGCAGTATGAAGTAGGCAAGACATTTTGTCTGGTAGTTACCGACCGTTCGTCAATGGACAGTGTAAATGGATCCAATTAATAGCTTAATATTATGTAAAAACGAAGTCTTTTACTTCAAATGGTTATTCTACTCTTCTACTCTGATTCTCGATATCAGTGTATGGTACACATATGTTTGATTATACCTTTGAATTTTCTAAATTTTATTGACCAAGCCAGTTTGTCGAGGGTGCCCAATTCTAAAGCAATGCATGAAAGCGAAATAAAGTATATATACCTACATCAGTTCGCAAGTTGCAGGCGACTGCCGTTTGTCCGATTGGTGTAGTAGTGATTGTTGATGGTTAGCCCTGGGAGAGGGGGGTAGAGAGTCATTGGTATGTAATTGTATGTCCCTTATTGTGGTTATACACAACAGTGCTCAGAGTTTGATTTGACAAAAAGAAAACACATCGCAGAGATGACAGCTGTTTCAAGTTTTAGGAGGCTAACGTTCTATAGAACTGTTATACTATGACATAATATTTATAGTAATATACCTCCTAGTCATGTGTAGTAACCAATTCCTATATATCTTGGAAAAGATCAGTGATGGAAAGTAATTTGGTTAAATAATAATATGAATTTGAGTAAAATACACGGATGAGGTTTGTGGTAATAATATTACTGTCTTATAACCATATTAATTATTGTGAAATGCTTATAGATATTTAATTATTTATATATTTCAGAAACTGTTTTGTTTTCCCTATTTCTTAAACTAACTAGATGGTCGCCATAGTAAATCATTGAGACAAGACACTTAAAATTAAATACCGATATTGTTGATGTAATTATCTAGGTAGTGGGTACTCATATCATTTTACTTGTGATAACAGTTTAAAATTTTTTATCATTTTTTTCCCAGTTATTTACAATTCAACATGTATTGCTCCAGTAATACTTCTTGTTAACATTATATTGTTGTACTCATGTACTCTTAAGACTTAAGTATGCACATGACTAATTTCAATTTTTTTTTGAAAAAAAAAATTTGTTTGCTTGTAGATATTTAGGTAGTAATTGTTATAGCAGTTTACAGTTGGGGAGTAATATAATAATTAATTAATAAAATGTGAATGTATTTTAAATTAAATTGTTCTAAATGATTTAAATAGGATTTTTTAGGATAGCAATTCATTACTGTTCAGTTTTTTGGTGCTTTCCTTTATAATTACCAAACCGTAAGTTTTATCACATCTCAACTTTGTATTTAATTATTAATCTCTTCTTTTGCCTATATTTTTTAGTATATCAGCTAATCAGTTTACTCTTCTTGGAATTTACATTATAACCATACAGTTATGAACAACAATCTCTTAGGTTTGAAATAAATAATTTTTATTTATTTATAATTGCATTGGAAAATATAATAAGTTAGTGGGTACCTCACTACCTCTTAATAAATATTCCTATTAAATACCTACTAAATATTATATCCTAGAGAATTTGTCATTCTGCATTGCTGTTAGATAATAAATAGGTAAGTACAATTATAAAACGGCCGTTCAATCAAAATATGTTATCTCTCATAATCATTATTCTACAAGTGTGTTTGTATTTAATATTTATTGTAAAAATGATTTATTATTGATATTTCTCATAATAGATTTTCATAAATTACTTCAATATAAATATGAAAATTAAATTTATTAGTTTTATTAAAAAAAGATGTTATTATATATTAACTACAATTATGCAATATTTATAATTATTATCTTATCTTAATAAGTTATAAGAAAACAGTGTATGGAAAATTATACTCTTCCATAAAACAAATTAAAATTAAAATTTGAAATCACCCAAAACTAATATTATGATGTTTATTATTGTCTCAATTGTTGTTTAGTAGGTGCATTGTGTTAAATAATGGTTAAGTGTTCCTTCATTAAGCATCCAAATGTTATCTTATTTTTATAAATTTGTAGGTTTATTCAATTGACAATACTATGAATGATGTAAAATAAAATTATAAATAGGATATGAGTATATGTATTGAGATATCTTTAAATGTGTTATTGTTCTCGTCAATTGTGGAAATAAATAACTTGATGAACATTTTAATTTGATTCTCCATTCACATAGGCATCAACTTACATAATAAACAATAGCTTCACATAAAATATTTAAATTGAAAAATGCTTGAGGCTCTTTTTTATACAATATAGCTTTTAAGTTTATTGTACTAAACACTAGAGTGTAGATTACATTTTAAACAAGCCCTGATTGTTTTGTGATGAAATTTGTGCATAAATATTTAAGTAGACACTTCTGTAAATACCTACTTATTACATTTTAATGTAATCCAAAAAGTTTGATTAATCAAGAATTTTAAATATGTTTGTTTTGTGTTGTTAAATGTAGTTTTTACATTTTTATTCATTTCAATTATTGGTTTTTGTTATTTTTTCATTAGGACACTTTTATAGTTTCCTAGTTTGGAAAATTAAAATGTTCGAAAAGAAATCTATAATATTGTATACAAAAGTTCATAAAATTGTCTAATAAAATTATATCAAAACAAAAATAATTACACTCTTATCGAGCCCATCCCTCCCTCTGTCTAATCGTATCGTAAATTGTATAGGCCATAGCTATGTCAAATATCAATAGTATTATTTATTAGTTATTGACTAGAATGCCATAAAAATACATGACTTCTCCTAGTTCCTACTGATATTAATTACATGTTTTAATATGCATTGTAATAATATTTAATATCTTTTAAAAATAATTAATTATTTTGTCCGTTTGATAAATGATAAATTATCGGGGTTTTTACAACACAGGTAAAACGGTGTGTAGTGTTCTTCTACCATTCGTGTCCGTAACCAACAAACTCAATGAGTGACGAATAACGGCGTAACCATACTAAACTTCTTGAATTATCATCATTAATCGGTGCATAAACCTTCTTAAACGGATACCCCTCCCTTGTTTTTACCAACACAGTGATGAGGATCAAGGGACGGTATTCGGGTTTGCACGCGAATCGTTCAAGTGTCACGCGATGATGAGAAAAAAATAGTTGTGTGTTTTAGTCTACCCGGAACTGTTTCAAATCATAATCATCTACCGTACTAGAGTTCGTCTCTACATCGAAATTAATATGATTTACACGGCGGGCAATACACGCACTCATTTCGTAATAACCGTTTCTCTCTCGGGTGCTCACAAAAAGTATGCCTTTTCAATATTATTATTATTACATCTCTATACACGTGCGCATGCTGGCATCACCATATTCATATATATATATACTATTGTGTATACTTGCGGCGTATGTTTTGCACGCGTTCGACGCCAAGGTCGATTTTTTTATGCGTCAAGACCGGTCAAGACTTAACCCGACGTTGCCGCGTCGAATGCGAGCTGCGCGCGTTCCAAAAAGAACAAAAGTTCGATCGGTCAGGTGGTCAACAACTCAACTTTTAATAATAAATATATCTGCGCGCGTGTGTATATACGCGTGTACAGGAACGTTCTAATTTTACATTATAAAATCGGTCGAGATTTCTTAGTACCTATTATTATCGGCTGCTATAGTCAAATGATGGCTACCCTGTATATTATCGTACCACGTCAATGTACATTACATAATAATATGTATGAACCTTTTATTTCGTTAACGATATTGTTAACGCGGCGACCACCTGTCAACTAAAACTTAAAAACCCGCACTCTATATCGTACTACGCTGCAGGCGTCTAGTCTTTAAAAGCGTAAAAACGTTGTTGTGGTTTTATAATAATATTGTTGTAAATTATAAAAATATGTTTTTGTGCTACTCGTATTGTGCGACGCACATTGAATGCTACCTATGTATGTGAAGAGTTGTCGAAACTACACAACAATGATTTAAAGTCTGATACGTGCAACGTGCTGTAAACGAAACTATGAATGCATTATATAAGTACGGCTCAAGTTCTAGCCAAGATTTTTAATTTTGTTTTTTAAAACTTATTTATTTCGTTTTGAATGTATAATAATAATATAATATAATATAGAGTAGTAGGTACGCGTACACATCTCAACTACTACGTTTCATTTATCCGTGCCAACCTCGCCTTATACACCTTTTAAATTAAAACTTTGACTAACCGCATCTGATATAATAATAATATGCTCGATAATATTATGTTAATGCGTCAACCCGTTCGACCTTTTGAGCGAATCACGAGTAGGAACATTATTTGTACTTATCAGGATTTTTTCGACTCGATTTAAATATTTTAGTGCGTTTTGTGTTTTAATATTGGGCACTCTATTCGATTGCACGTACTTCTTTTTTTTTTATGAATAGTACCTACTACGTATAATTATAATAATATAGGATCGTTTGATTTTACGATGTACAAACCATATTATAATTTATATTGCATTTTGCACTGTCTTAAACCCGTCTTAGTGTCAATCTTATTTTATAAATTATAATTTAATATTATAGTGATTAAACACGTGTCACCTACTTACGACTAAGCTACGAGTTTACGACTAGCAAAATAGTAATTGAGGAGTGTGCGTAACGCGTCTATAGAGTACATTCAAACAATTGTCGTTTTGGTATCCAATGATTTTGTTTAATGAATTGAAGGCATACTTAACCTATTCTAAATATACAATATTATTTTGCTTAGGTGTTTTTGTTTATTTTTATACGTGTGTGTGTGACTATTTTTTCAATGTTTTTATTGC